GGTGCAAAACAGCAGAAAAGTGTTTTCAGGATGAAGCAGCAAACGAAAGTGTAAAAGATCGTTGCGTAACGTGTGATGCTTTTCGAGACTGTACGTATCAAGAGCTAAAGTTTGCTGAAGATGCTGACAAATTTGTAATCATCTGTCGTGGCCCTGGAATTCAGAGGTTGTTCCTGACCAGCGTGTCTTCCAATTTAACGATTCGTAGGTTAAATTCAACAGTTTTTTCCTCTAAATAATTTTTGAATTTATAAAGTTTTACAAATTGATAGTTCTGCAAGGCGCCATTTTTTACAGTTTATAGACAAAGAACTTGGGAATTACGAGAAATTAAAGGAAAAATACGATTCAAAACTTCTGCCGAGAACACATTTTGAAAACATTCAGTTGAAAAGTGGATTTGGTAAACTATTTTCCTTTGTTTAATGTAATAAAAAAAATTATTGCAGTCAACTGTAGAGTCATAATTAATTTGTTATGCAAACGTCTACAAATTGTCGTTCAAACAGTTGCACAGTTTAATCATTACAAATGTCTTCAGCACTAAGTAATAGAGTTTTCAGTCGCCTCGGTTAAAATGATTCTACCGTATGAACTAGACCTTGACGCTGTCGACCACAAGTATCCATCAATTGTATCTGTGTGAGCTTTACCTAATTAATTTTACCTTTTAAGTATATCCTTCCCTTATGTTATGATGCTCATCACCAAACATTACAAATGATATTTACAAATTTTGCGCACACTTTTTTTGAATAAAGCTTAAAAGAAATAGCACACATTCTTTTTGAATAATGCTTAAAAGAAATAAAAATTTTAAAAATTTAGTTATGGAGGACCAGGTTCACGAAAGGTAGTTGAGGAGTACTCAGTGAACAGCATTGACACGCTGCTTGGCACCAAATATGTGGTTGTTTTCATCGATGCCAGAGGCTCAGGTTTACGTGGATGGACCTATAAAGAGCAGCTGTTGGGACGTCTTGGTACTGTCGAAGTCGACGATCAAACTGAAACAATTAGGTTTGTCAACTGCTGTAGTTCAAAAGGGCCATTATAGTTGAGTCTTGAATTTCGATAGCTTACCAACAAGTAAGAGCCTATAAAGCCGTTGACCTTGTAATTTAAACCTTTTAACCAATAAGCCTTCTGATAATCTTTTAAACCACTACAGATTATTGACGGAGAAGCATCGATTTCTGGATCCTCATCGAATAGGCATTTGGGGATGGGTACGTATTTTTGAACTGTTTCCCAGGAAAGACTAATTTTTGCACAACTGTTTTGAACTTTTAATTTTTGCTAACATAGTTTTTTTTTTGCAAAATAATAGTCAGTGTCCCCTCTCATGTATACCCAAAAAATATCTAATTTTTTAATAATTCTCATTACTTTTGACTACACGTCCACAAACCTTGCCTTTCATTGTAATTCTGTATTCTTATAGTCGTATGGTGGCTTTGCTGCTGCATTAGCAATACAACGAGACGAAAAAAAGACGTTCAATTGTGCGGCCAGCGTGGCGCCAGTCACTAATTTTAATTTTTATGGTGCAGAATTCAGATTTTTGAAAATTTTTTCTTGTTTGAAACAAACCATCGAATACCGTCGTTCCAACTGTTCCTTGGTTTAGATGCAACGTATACAGAACGATACATGGGAAATGCAAGTACCTTAGCCTACGACCGTACAGACCTTATGCGCAATGTAACCAAGTTCAAAAATGTCCAGTACCTGATTATTCATGGAACTGCAGACGGTAATGCCAACTTAACATAAATCGACCTTCTCATTCATTTTGTTTTAGAATCTCATTAAAAAACAAGGAAAAAAAAGTCCATTTTGTACACTCCACATCTAGCATTACTCTCGGTCCCATTTTAAAAAAATGATTAACTTCCAAATTTCAGATAATGTTCACTTCCAAAATACACTACAATTTATACGAACTTTGGAAGAACAAAATATTCACTTCCAGTTAATGGTTAGTTTCGATTACTTCTTAGTGTTTTTTCAAGCCTTTTTCGAAGACTATTTCCAACCAGATTTCTAAACAAAAAACTACTATTTATAGGTTTATCCAGACGGAACACATGGTCTCTTATGGGCACGTTTTCATCTATATACTTTACTAACTGAATTCTTCAAAAAGTGCTTCCAGTGAAAAAAACTTTGCCCAACATGAAACGGAGCAAGTGATAGCATAACCAAAGTTGTTTAGAATGTACAAATCACTAGACTTGTAGAGTACAATTACTTATTTTAACACTAACGTTGTTTAAAATTTTAAATCAATGATCTTTTGTGGCAGATATCTAAAAGATACAAACAAAGACAAATCTGCCACAAGAAATCTTCCTAATCTGCTCGTAGCAAATTTTTATCGCGATCCGTATGTTATATTCCCCACGAGATCACTAGGCTTTAGGGATAGAAAATCTTTTCTCTTCTTTCTAATTAATTTTAGAATCCTCCTTTTCATTACTTTGCGTCTTTTGTCATTAAGCTTAAAGAAATTTGAATTTAAAACAATGCGCCACTAGAACAGCAAAATTTATTTCTTTTATTTAAAAGCTTTGTAATCCAGTGTTATAGTGTATTTAAAGCTAAGCCCTCAAAACTTGGAGGTTTACTAAATGTCTTCACTTTTAAATGCAAAGCCAAACACAATTTTAACGCACACTATTTTTGAAAGCCTACAATTCTAGTAACTAATTCTTACTTTTAAAAAAGATTATCACATGTTGAAGCATTCTGATAATCCCTCTTGAATATAGTCTTAAAGATGCCCAGTCTCTACAGCAGGTATTAAAACGGCCATTCAAAGCTGACCATTCTCACCTGCTATTATTTTTTTACTTTAAGACTTCTCTTACTTGACTCTTCTCTATTCTCCCTCTTAAGACGGAAAAATACCATTTTTTTTTGTAAACTGATAACAGCGCAGGCACTGTTGTCTTACTAATTTATTTCCAACTAAGTATACGGTTACTAATTATAAACTGAATATACGGGACTGGAATAATAATGGCTCTCAAGGCCTTTTACTGGCAGGTGCAGAAAAGTGATGCAACGTTGAAGTAAACGTTACTAGTTCACGGCTCCAAAGTTCCTGAAACAGTCTTAAGCAGGCCTCACTACCACCTTGAAAATCAAGTTGAGTTCCGCTGTAATAACGAAGTATAATCAATAACAAATGTTTACTGTGCAAAACAAATCTCATGTATATAAGCAATTTTTATCTATTTCTCTCAAAATGTTTTCTAACTGATGACTGATTATGCTGGTATATTAAAAACCTTTAAATATCGATAACTCTTATCTCATTTACAAAAAATAACTCATGAAACAAAGTATTAGACAAATTGCTGACCAAGGCGAAACATCACCTTAAGACAACAATTACAAAAAACAATTTTACAAACGCTTCGCCATCTTATCTTCCAAAATTCCAACTTCCTTCGTAGAGGTCCAGAACTTGTTCAACATGATGAAATAAAGCAGAAAGAAGCCAAAATTAAAATATCATTTAATTACTCGTACATCTTGTTTCTAACGAAGACTATGAAGCTGAAGGCCAATAATGCCTTGCTATAAAGATTACATGAAGCAAAAACTAAACTAGCTGAACTTCTTATAGTCTTTCACTGATAACGTACCCAAAAAATCTTACAAAACAGAGGAACAAGAATAAACTAACCATACCAACTTATCAAGGGCCACAACAAATTGATAATTCAAAATTACGTGCAAGATAACAAACAAAAAACGTATAGAGCTTTTAAATCAAAACGATAGCAAAAGAGTAAGACTGTACCAGTGGCTTCTGAACTTATTAAAAAAACCAAAAAAAAGTAAAAATGCCATGCATACTTGTGCATGAGGCACTGCGCAAATACGGATATCGTTGAATAAAAGATCTTAATTCTATATAAGCATCCCATTAACTTTGTTGGAAAACATCTAAAGCATTCCTCAAAATTTTAAAACAACACAGTTTCATCAATTAACGTACATATATTCATCAAACAACAAAAAAAGAAAGATGATCAAGCCATAGTGTTATAAAAGAATATTTAAGAAAACTAAAAAAACCTGTAGAGGTTGAATGTAATAGTCAAAAACTCATATCAGTTGCATAATGCAAGACAAGGAGAAAAAAATGAGATCAAGGTAACCAAATAGACGAAAACTTAAAGCTTTAAAAACTTTTTAGGAAATTGAATTCCCTATGTTAAAAGAGGTTAAACCCGCGTAGATTTCAATGTCTGTTTAAAAAACAAATTCTCAATACTGCCAGATATTACAGAAAGAAAAATTAAGACCGGACCGCAAGAAAAAATTTTATCAACACCAAATAACCATTACTCTGCCTTTTCATGATCTTCGACATCAGTATGGTGATCTGTACCTAGAAAAAATAATTCGTAAAAAAATGTATACTCTAACTGCTGATTAAAGAATATGTTAAAGATGAAGTATAGAAAAAAAAGAAAAAAAGAAACATGCACCAGAGCCATCAGTATCGTCATCCTCATCAGGATAAACTTCATCTCTGTCCACCGAAAAATCTGATGAACATAAACAGTAAGTAATTAAAGAAAAGAAAGCTAGTGGAAGACCAAATATACATATTGTGAGTAGCGGTTGTGCTCTAAACATTTCGGCAAACGATGACGTTACCTAAAAGGCAAAAGTGTAACATCTTTTCTCTCGCCTAATATATCCTTAAATAATACGGCTTAAAAGTTTTTACAATGTGCATAAAGCAAAAAAAATTCAACGAATAATCAAAAAGTAAACCTCAAAAATAAGCCTTCTGATTCTTTGCATTATAGAAGAACCTCCAAGAGGCACAACTTCATCCGCTATAACTCGTTCCAAAAAAGAAATGATACTCTTTACTGTAACTGCTGAGGCAGGATCACCACTCGAATAATATTCGTAAGTCGATGCATTAAAAACAAGAAAATCTGAAAAAATGATCATTCAGTCAATAAAAGAAACAACTGTCTAGGCAATGAGCTTGATAATAGTAACAAGAGAAATTAAAAGGCCTGTTTTAAGTATCGTGTGCAGCACCAAACCTGGCTCACTAACGACATTTAGGACAATATTGTTGGCTAAACCATTTCCATCCAACCAACCAAATTGATAATGAGAGGAGATTTCTGGGTGACTGCGAACTGCACGCGCTACTTTAGTCATAATTGAAAAGAACCTTAAATATGCACTCTATGAGGCAGGTACGGTAGATAAAAAATTTCACGACCGAAAACCCTGTAAAGTAGTTAAAGTAATATCATTACCTTCCAACTTCAGATGTCTCATTCTTCCGGTCAATTTTATTAACAACAGCAAGCACTAGGAGACGATTAGCACCAATATTTTTTAACGTTGAAGAAGTCACTAATGGCATTAATGACCAACGCTCATTATAGATCCATTTAGTAAGATTACCGTCTATAAGGACTAATAAGTCGAAATTTCAGAACGTACTAAACAAAAATTAAAAAAAAAAATAAACCTCTTTCTGGAACAAAAGTAGAATGTTCATTGTCCTTAAAAACAAAGACTGTTGACAAATGGGACACTATAATCTTCGAAGGTAATATTTCTGAGCTAGCTCGATAAAAACCGTGTGACCAAAAAAGAGTACTAGCCACCCACGAGTACTCGTCGTACAATTCAGCAACGTTATCGTCATTTGAAACGTAAACAAAGAACGGGTCGTTAACAAACTTCTTCAGCTAAAACTTAACTCCCACAAATAACTTGACGATAAAGTTAGTGAAGAAGAATATGCAAGTACAAAAATTTATAAAAGGTTCATTTCCACATTGATGTAAACGAAGAGAACTTAGAGGAAAGATAAAAAGAAAAAGTTTCCAAAGTCATAAACTTTATTTTAAACATTGAAAAAATCCGATCTCTCTTTTTTGTCTCCATCTAATAATTCAAAATTTACGTTCTCTGAAACGTTTCAAACCTCAGTTAGCTGCTGAATTGTTTTCAACGTACCAACTACTGGACCAGACCCTTTGACGGCAAAATCTACCAGAGCTTCTTTTCTTCGTTCGCCCTCGTACACCCTCTTTTCACCGTTACGGAAGCTGAACGAACAAAATTATTGATAAACTAAAAAAATTTAAGCAAAAAGACATAACAACTTAGCTGTCTGTAAAAGAAGTTTTACATGAATAGCATCTAAATTGAAGCTAAATTTTATAAACCTATTTCACAACTTGTATGGAAAAGAGGACTGTTAATGGAAAAACTACAAAGACAAATTAACTGGCAAGGTATGGTGATGATGAAATCCTTTTTTTGCTCAATCAATCTACCAAATCAACAGAATATTAAGAAACCCAGCGAACGTTGCACTGATTAGAATTAAAACAAAACAGATCTTTTTTTCAAAACAAAGAGCACTTTTATTATTCATAAAGTTTTCCCTTTTGTTTTTAAATGCCGCGCAAGATCCCTTAGTAATCTATCCCAGCTGAAGCAAGTTGTTTAACAAGCATTAGTAGAGCTTTCAAACATACTACCTAAAATACCACAATTTTAAAACTAACAAAATCACAGTTGGATAGCCCTGTATGTCCAAAGCAGAAGCCACTCTCGTAAACCTTGTACAGTCCAGCTTGCCGACCCTAACAGGAGACTTCTGGTCAGCAAGAGCGTGCCCTACATGCTCCCATATTGGCATCAGACGTTTGCAGTGGGCACACCAAGGAGCATAAAACTAAAAAACTACATATCGTTTAACTTACAAACATAACCAGATCCTGAAGCAACTATAGCTACATAAATAAGAACCTTCCCTTCCTTAAACTTAAAGTAATCCGCTCGAAGCTATGAACGACCAGAAGTTCTAAAATCTAGCCTTACAAAAACCGATTTAATACCAAAAAGCGATAAGCTGAGATATGCTTGAAATATTCATATAAACCTCAACAGTTTCATCAGAAAAGTAGTCATAAATGACCACTCATTTAAATGAAAATTCTAAAGCAAAAGCAAAAGGTATCAAGCTCCTGTTTTGCAATCTCCGTGTACACCACATACCTCAACAAACCAATAGCCATCGTCTTTAACTTTAAGAAAACGTTCATTCAGCTCAATCACATCCGAAGGAACGTTAGTGCCAATAGATACTCCACTGCACAGCGAGATGAAAACAGCTATTAACGTAAGCAGTGGCATCTCTCTGTAGCATAAAGCAAGAGTTGAATGTAAAGTCGACAATCAAATAATGATGAAAACATCGATTACTTGAAAAATCCTATACCAGTCCATGAAACA